TGGTTCCAATTTCTAGAGAGTCTAAGTATGTTATTCATTAGCAAGTAAGAAAGCTCCCACACAAGGCAATACCTTGTGTAATATAATGTTATCATGATTGAGTAATTGATCGTCTAGAGAGTTACATGATTTTCTTTGTTCATCTTTAATATTGTGTTAAAAAGGAGGACTGATTACATAAGGATACATTATTTTAAATTATTCATATGTTACTATTGATATATCACTTGAATAAGTTCTTCGAAGCATTATTTTTTCCCTATAGTGGTGACGAATTTGCCTTATTAGTCATTCACATGTTCTTGAATATCTTTTGGCTTCCCAAAGGTTTGTGCTTGCTAGGCAGCTGTTTGGATTTTAAGGCACCATGAGTGGCTGTCGAAAGTCCTCTCTCTATAAAACTAAGTGAATGACACAAAGAGCAAACCCATTCTGCTATTCTGAGACTTGTTCTATACACTGCTGGTTTTCGAAGTGTGGCCTTCAATCCAGGAGATCAGCATCACCTGAAATATTGCTGTAGGCGCAAATTCTTGGCCTTGCCAGAGAGTCACTGAATCAGAAACTCTAGAGATGGAGGCCCAGCAATGTCTGTGTGAGCAAGCCCTCAGGTGATTCTGATGCAACCCAAGGTTTAAGAACCACTACCCTAAATAAAAATGATCTCCAACCCTTATACTCAGATGTTCAGTCAAAGAAGTTAATGATTTTTGTTTTCCTTTATATAGCATCTCCATAGAAACATAAATTTTTGGTTAATACTTTATGGCGTGGACATTTACTCATATTTTTGAAGTACTTACACATCTCTGAGATAATGGAAGGAAATAACTTCATTGAACAAATCAGAAAATGAAGGCGAAGAGAAGTAACACAGTGGAACTGAAATGGTGTATGTAGCTAGATGATGAGAAGTGATAGACGCAGACAGAACACTCAGCTGTTTGGCCTCAGGCCTGCTGGTGGATTCTTTGAATAACAGCCACTGAGCCAGTATGTGCTGGGTAATTTAAAATCCTTGTTCATGTAATCAACGTCTGGATTCTACTGTCTTTTAAAAACTATGAAATTATTTTTGAAAATATGATGCAAACCAAATGACTCCTTTTTAAAATACCCAAACATTTGAGGTTTATTTTTACTAACTTCTAAGTCACATATCACTTTGAGTCAGTATTTATTCTTACCTTGAATTGACACTGTTCTGTAAATATTTCTGAACCATATTATGAACTAAGGGCTTAGGATGCAGAAGTACAATCACAATCCCCGCCTTCAAACAGCTTGAACGCATTTGTTACATCTAGCAAAGGAGTAACCCATGCTTGCCAATGAGATTTATACTCCTCTCCCTCAGGAGAGAAAGGGTGATTTTCTAGACCACATTTTCTTCCCTTAAATATAAGTCCCAAAGGTGATAAAGAATCAGGCAAAATGTCTCCCAGGATACTTTTTAACATAAGTTTAGCTGAAATATTCTATTGTACCAGTGATTTACCAAAGTACACAAGGCTTTAAGTTCCTTCATAAATATAAAAAATATTAATCTAAAATGCTTTCACAATTAATGTGGGAGACAATATTTGTCAATTCTCTGTCATTAAATAACGGTACTATACATTTGCATTATATTCATTTGCATTACACAGGAATAATCCTGTGGAAATAAAATCTATGTAATTAACTCAACTAGGAATTGCTATAATTAACATTTATGAAAATTAAAAGCATTTCATCAATTAAGATAGATGAAAATGTGTGCCTCTCACTAGAAATTATATCATAAATGTGCCTATTGCAGTTGAAATAGTTTTTTTTTCAAATCTGACTGCGCTTGTCTAATACCAAAAAATTAATGCTGCCCAAAAGAACTAAAATCAACTTTATGTGTGAGTTATTAGTTATCCTAAAGCACATAATGTGGAATATTGTCTTACCACAAAGCCCCTCATAATACTTAGGACATATCTCCTTTAATAAAAGGATTAGCTTTTAACATATGTTTTGGTTGGGATGCTCTCAGAGTTGTGCCTTAGAAAATTTCTTGGTACCCATTAAAATGCCATACTTAAAACAAGGAAATGCTTGCTATAAGAGTGAATCATAAAAAAATTACATATAAATTTTGTTTTAGTTGCCATAATTTCTCTGTGTACTTACTGAGCAGCGAAAGTTTCTAATTCTTGACCTAGAGTGATGGTGAGAATATTTACAGATGACTTGCAATGGCAATTAAACCATATTTTTGATCTTCAGTTTTGAACTTATTTGCTTACAAATTAAAAAAATATATATATAGATAGATAGATAGATTTAGATTTATATCAATTGATCACACATTTACAATTTTCTTTTGCAATTTACTCTTTAGGGGGATTCAGGAGGACCACTCATGTGCCAAGAAAACAACAGATGGTTCCTGGCTGGTGTGACGTCATTTGGATACCAGTGTGCACTGCCTAATCGCCCAGGGGTGTGCTCCCGGGTCCCGAGGTTCACAGAATGGATACAAAGTTTTCTACATTAGAGTGTTTCCTGAAGCAAAGTTGAAAATCAGGCAGTTTTCCCATTCCACTTTAAGAAGCATGGAAATTGAGAGTTTTGAAAAAATCATTTCTAAATGCCTTGATTCTTTACCTAAGCCACCGAAATGCTGGGGGAGAAAACAAAAACTAATCTTTACAATACAAAGTAACTTTAAAATAATAAAGTTTGATTTTATTGTGAACAGTTATTCTTTCACAGATATTTCCTTTGTTCTTAATCATTATTTTTATCATATTCTCTTATTTAAAGGAATGTTATTTTAAAGCATATACTATTACACTTAAAGTTTAAGCAAAATTAAGAGAAGCAAAATAAACTATTTGCACAAAGTATGTTATTGTTTAAAATAGACTGCTGTAAATTATCTAATTCCAGCTTAGATCACTATTATAAGAATCTCAATCATTCTCCTGCTTTTCTATCCAAATGCATTTCCAATCCAACTTGAGCACATCCTTAATATTTTCCCCACTTATCAAAAATATTTATTATAAGCTCATGTCACAGACTTGAACTAAATCGATTGCACAATTCTCTCAAATAAGCTAATTAAACAGCAAAACAGCACAAGTCCATATATCGCCCTTGTATCAAAATTAAAGCTAAATTAACTAATATTGTCATACTTTCATTGGATCATTTTTTACCTGGATTATTCATATGGTCCGTTTATTTCAAGCTAGTGTTTTTTAGGTTTCCAAAAATTATCAGACATATCAAAGAAATACAACTATTACAAATGTGGTTTTTCTCTGATAGATGAGTTACAGTGGATATTTCTAACATGTGTAAAACTTATTTAGACACAGCTGAATTGCCCACTGGAAGGCCAAAAATGTGGAATAAATGAATTTGCTCCACTGCTTTAATGTCTTGGATCATTTCCAGAGTAAGTGCAAACTTCAATTTAGCTTACCACACAAAATCTGCTGATTTATTCAGGAAGACAAAATTCATACAAATTAAGACAAATGTACACACACACACACATTCTTGCATGGGTCTATATGGTCCAAAGTAATAGAAGAGAGAGTAAGGTTTCAAGCAGTTGAAAGAAGGGATCAATCAGTTTATATTGGCCTTACGGAAGAAAGGAGACTTGGGCTGGCTACACCTGAGAGGAATAGTTGTTACTGACGTACTGAAGAGGCAGTGGGGACCACCGTGTAGGCAGGAGAGATCCTGAAATTTCAGGGAGAAGGGACAGTAGATAATTTTGAGTTGTCCTAGCAAAAGACTCTCTCTCTGGGCAATGTTCAGAGAAAGGGAAAACAATACCATATAAAGAAGGTGACATGTATACACTGCTATATATAAAACAGATAACCAACAAAGACCTAATGTATAGCACAGGGAACTCTACTCAATACTCTGTAATGATCTATATGGGAAAAGAATCTAAAAGAGTGGATATATGTATATGTATAACTGATTGACTTTGCCGTACACCTGAAACTAATGCAACATTGTACATCAACTCTACTCCAGTAAAAATTTAAAAAAAGAAAAAAAGAAAAGGTGTATCCAGATGATTGAGGATTACAAATTCCTGGTAAACAATCACGGGATTTATTCTTAGGACAAAAATTGGGAGTCCCTGAACACACTACTCTTTTTTAGAACCTTTCCAATGACCTGTTCCTAATAGGAAGGATGGAGTGATTAGGAAGGATGGAACAGCAAGGGTAGGGTCTGCTGTTTGATTTTATTTTCTGAATATTGTTCTGCATTTCACAACACTTATTAGAAGTATGCTCTGAAAATACAAATACAACATCTATTCCTTTTTATTTTTCAAAGGTCAGCTTAAGGTACCCTTAGGACAGTCTCTCTACCATCTTCCAATAAGACAGAAGTTCATTATCCCAACTCTAGGAACTTATGCGTTTCGTAATTGACACCGGAAGAGTAATCCAGCTCTGGATCAAGATAAAAGGCAAAACCAAGTCCCTTCCCCATTGCTTTGCCTCTCCTGCCCTGCAGCTGTTGCAGTTGTGGGTGGCACAGACGATGGGGAAAGCCTAGTCTCCCTCCATCAAGTCCTGACTAAAAGAAGAAATGCATGGTGGGAGCTTGAAGGGAAGAGGTAGATCCCAGCAGCTGGTCTCCTATTCTGCCCAGAAAGATGGGTCGCCAAGAAAAGAAAAAGAAGTGCTAAATGTGGGCAGATCTAAGCTTAGAATGCAGCTGCCTGTTTCCTCAGTCTCTGAGCAGCTGAAAAAGGACCAATGCCCACTAATTTCTATTTTGCCTCTTAATTTTGCCAACCAACTGGAGTTGTGAATTGCCTTAGTGAAAGCTCTTCATTATCTAACTGAAAAGATGAGGTTTAAAACAGTGTACAACCATAACTTCCATTCTTACCACACTTAAACAGTCATTTGTTCCCCTAGATTATTGCAAACATATCTGTACTTTGTTCACTTAAGATATTGAGACAACACCAATGATCATTCTTCAGAAACAAGAACTTTTTATTTGGTTAAAAGGAGCACAGAGACATTTGAAGACCAGATAGTTACAACTCTCTCTTGAGAAGAAGGAGCCACAAGCATTGAAGAAACTAGAAGATAGGACGGAGGCACCCCAGTTTACTCTCTCAGCCAAACGTGAACAGCGAACACGTGATCATTGATGCCCTCCAACCCATTTTTATACTAATTCGGTTTCTTTCCTTGCGGAAATGTCAGTGTGCTGTGCTTAACTGCACACTAGTGGTGACCACTCAACTAGTCCCAACTGTAAAACCGCCTCATATGCTGACAGAGGCTAAACGGAGCTAGGAAAAACCTTAGACAAACTCTGTAGGTATCGGCCTCCAGGGTCAATCCCAGACCCCACACAACCATCTTTGCTTTGTTGGCAAGGTAGGGGCCAAATCGATTCCAGAACCCTCAGAGAGCTACTTGTGGTTACATAGGCAATACGTGAAGACATATGATTTATATTGTGTATGCCACTTTTGTTGCTCTAGATTCAGTATATTATTGTTTATACAGCTATTAACAAAGTTATTACAAAATCTGTTGAATTTTAAATGCAAAATAATTGTAAGGCACATGTCTTGCACAACTGAAATTAGACAATTCTTGCCTCCAAGTAAAATATTTGACTAGATTTATACCACGGTTAATGAAATAACTTCTTATTTCTGAAGAGATTTCCTAAACCTACTCTGACCCAAAGCAGAGAAACTAAAAGATGAGCCATTTCTAGAAAAGAAACTTTTTCTATGGTAATATATTTATGTGTGTGTGAATTCAGTTGACAACAGTGATACATTTCTTTAATCAAAACAGCATGTATTGAAAAATGAAACACTGTAAAAATAAATACAAGAACAGTCCATTTTTATCTAACACTTGTGTAAAGGAAAAATATTTTGCACACTGTAAATTTCAATGCAATTTACCTTACATTAACTAGATTACAACTTATGAAAGGTGAAAGAGACAAAAATAACTGCCTTCCAATGCACATACTTCTCTGATGTGTTCATAGCAATTTAATCTGTATGGACCATCCCATTTACTTGAAGTTTTGGTGCATCCTTTAGCAAAATAAGCATGTCTCACTCCATTATCAGCACAGCGTTATTTTATAAATGAAATAATAAACATATAAAAATTATTTTAATATTTGCCTCAAGGGGGAGCTTACAGTTCATCTTGTACATCCTTTGAGATTTCAAGCCATTCCAAGCTAATGTTCTGAGGCCATTCCTTATACAGATCCAGAATTACAAAACTCTATTTTCTGGAGCCAAGTCAATGAATCGTTATACTTCCATGCCACTTTCTTTCCTGGTGCTTTTTGAAATCCACAGTGTGGACTGGTGTGGGCTAGTTTTTGTTCTTCCTTTACTGAAAAACAGAAGAAGTAATAAGTTCAATGTCTGAGACTTCTTATCAAACTAGGCATGTCTTGGTCCAACTGGAGATATATCAGACCCTTATTATGAAAGCGTCTTTCTTCTCTCACCAGCATACTTTTTCATTCCTACAAAAAATTCTAGATTATTCCAGTATGTGAAGATGGTAATCAGTCTGCCTATCAGACATTGCAGAATTCCTTCAAAGAAAGAAATGAAGTCTTCCTAAACAAGCCTGAGTCATACAATTTTATAATATTACTTAACTGACTTCAATTTAACTGTGAATTTGTTACTAATAAACTACCATATCTAAATGATATGTTTTAGAGATTTGCACCCAATTAAGTAAGATCAATACATCTCTATCTATGAAGTCATCTAACATGAATGGAAAATAAGCCAAGCAAAGTCTATGAAAAACATGAAAGTTTCCTAAATGGTTAAAACAAAAGGGTGGTTAAGTTATTAATGTGGCTTTTGTGTAGCATTAGTATTTATTTTATTTAGGAGTTATTATGAGTTAAGGAAACAAGACTTCTTATTTTAAACATGACATGGAATGATAGAAGCCATCATGTGTACCAGATTGGAATTTAAACTTTCTGCAAGGCATTCAGATGACAATGGAGTTGAGTCTTTGATGAAGTTTCTCCTTGCTTTCCTAGAAGAAAGGAAAAAGGGGAGGATCTAAGAGAGAATGAATTAAGGGCTAACAGCTTAATTTCAGAGGTAGTCTATGTTGATTTATTTTCTCACTCTGAGAATTTCAAACAAGTGAAAACTCCACGGGTCTTCAAAGTATAAAAACCTGGAAGACTTGAGAATGAGCGGAATCTCCACAGCAGCACACTATTTGGAAGAAGGAAAACGAACTTCAGAGAAAACTCCAAAAACTGGCACTTTACTAATGTTAATTTTAGAAATGAGAAGGTCTACATAATTTTTTTTTCAAATCCTTTTTTTCAAATTGATTTGTTATTTACAGCTCTTCTGTAACAGTTTGGCTGGGTTATGGGGGGATTTATATCAAATCCTCGTTCTACTTCATTGTTGTAATCATAAATTTTCTTTCCATCTACAGCCTTAGGAATTAAGGGTAAAAATTAGATATTTACTATTGTCTTTATTCTGCATAAAATGTTGAAAAATAATGTTAAGTGTGTTATATATATATCTGTGTGTGTGTGTGTGTGTGTGTGTGTATATATATATATATATATATATATATATATATATATGAAAGTCAAGAGGACAAAATATGTCACAATAGGTAGTATTAATTTGCCAGGCTTTATTTATCATTATTCAAAATGTCTTCTTTAAACAGCCAGTAAATCACAGGTTGGATTCTTTAAAAAATTTATGTGAACCATTTAGAGTTTATATCTATTTAATTTTTTTTCTGGGGCTTTTTTACTTAGCAATTCTTTAGGGTTCATTTCAGGAAAAGAAGAAGATGAAGTAAAGTCAAAAGAGAAAAATGACCTATTTGCAGGTCCTTCCCTGAAGGAAGCATTCTCTTAACCAGTTGTTATTTAAAACACTTTGACAAAGATGTCTAATTTATTCTAGCAAGCACGCACTAATTAAAATCCACATCTTTTCCTTTTTCCTTTGATATATATTTATATTTCATACATTAATGTTTTAGTTTAATTGCCAAACTGACACATATGAAAAAAATTTCACCTGTAACTCAGGGTATGCGTAAACAGATATAAAAGAATACTCTCAAGAATCTTGCTGTTAAGACATATCACTTTATTGCAAGATGCCTGCTAAAAAGTAACCCATTTTTACCATTATACTATAGTTCCTATACTTAAAAGATCCTTTGGAAATAAAACAGAAGGCTATGACTTGAAATTTTGAAAAGGTACTACAAAGTTCATTTACAAAACTGAAGTCTTTCATACAACTTGAGGTCAGGATTGAAAGGTTTAGCATTAATGCTTATATTTAATAAAAAGAGACAGTGTAACATAGTTGCATATGTTGTGAGCTTATAAGCATTCACATTTCAGGTCCATCACACACATTAGCTATGAGACCCAAGGCAAACTGTGTGACTCATCTAAGCCACCATCTTCTCAACTGAAAAATGGAAACAGAAGGACACCTACTTCATATGGCTTGTGAGGATTAAACGAGATAATTCATAATCCTATAATCAAGGTATATTTTATTAGATTATGTATACGGGTATGTACTGACAGACATGAAAATCAAAACTTTCTTAAGGCAACTTAAAAATATAATTTTATGCTAAATTTTTAAAGAGTCCTGAAAACCTATTTAAAGCTTTTCAAGTTGTCTCTGCAAATATGAGTTATTTACCTTTTATGCAGCATCTGGAAACAGCAGGTTCCGAAAGCAACCAGTATCAGTAAGAGCAATGGGATCGTTGGTATAACAACATAGATTAGATTGGGAATTATTCCTACAAAAGCAAAACAGTCTTAACATAAAGAGATAGTTGAGGCAGGATTCTGACATGAAAGTTGTATAAAAACTTTCCAAAAAGTTAAGGCAAAGTATAATTATTATCAATAAGATTCCAAGTAACGTTCTTCCCAGAATACTGAATAAGCTAATGAAATAATATATTCATGTTTCATTAGAAATTAAAAACAAAATATACTGCATGGTTGCCATGCTCCACTTAAATGTCCATATATCCAAAACTATTATTAAATCTTCAATTAAGATAGGGACTGGTTTTTACAACATATTAATAATCTCAGTTATCTCGCTTCATTAATCCTTCTCAGTTATTACTTTGAGAAACAAGTACTGATTATTAAAGAATAATCATGATTAAAATAATTGTTGATTTATTGGATATGTAATTATCCTAACTAATAAGCCCAGTGCCATGATGATATGTGTGACTCTCTGAGATTAAACCAAAATATGTAAATATTAAATGATAGAGTCATAACCTAGAGACATAAGACTACAGAGGCATAAACACTTGATCTTCATTAAATTCTAAAATGAATCATCTTTTAATCCTGTTCTATCATATTTGATAATGTTAGGTATTCTTGGTAAAATAAAAAAGTGCCACACTGATGTCCCATACAGCTTAAAATGACTTTATTAAACAATTTTTCAATGTCATAGGAGGGTAAGTATTCCTAATGTAATTATTTACTGATCTATTTAATTAGATTTACATGTTCTGAATGGTTTTAAAATCAGACACCTGAAAGTGAAAAGCGCTAAAGTTTAATATCATATCCATACAAGAAAAGCAAATTGGAAAACTATGCATTGAGTTAGCAAATTGAAAGCCATCGTCATAATTAATCTAAATAATTCTGGTCAAAGTGGACAGGACTTAGATCAAACTCTCCATTTAACTGCACACCATTTCCTTTGTTAAGAGAAGAAAAATTAACTGAGGTCCAGTGATGGGGTATTTTGGGGATAATCTGCTATGTTTTCATCCACTCTTGAGCCTGTTAAGGTGACTGCAAGCATTTTAAGGATTCAAGACACATTTCCTTTCCTTTTCAAAAGACCATCATGATCCTTTACCTATAAGAGTAAAGAAAAAAGAAAGTATTTCCTACTCTTCCATGGATTTTGCATCACCTGTGGAAAGACTTTGAGACTTTGGGTCTTTGGCTCAATCTTTATGAAGTAACTAGTATAAATAAATATTCCTGTCCAATTGGCATAGGACCATGCTAAAACAAGCCCCTAAAGGATCCTAAGAGCAGTTTTTGACTAACATGAGATTTGCACTGGGATTGCGTTTTGTGTCTTTTGCAGACAGTGGCGTGCTGGAGACACAGAGCTGAAAGTTCATTGGATGCCTACTACCCAACCTGCTGTGCAGTGATGTCACTTGGTAGCTTGAAACTGACCAGGATGGGAGTATCCACATCACAGAAAACTCAACGTCTACAAATAAGGTTTTTTTAAGACCAGCCTACCCCAGCCAATCCCTAAACATTTAACAGTACCCAACTGTTTACAGGCCACTGAATGCACCCATTTACATCATAACACCTACATACTGGGGAAGATCCTTGTGGATCCACGTTTTGGTGTAGGATATACTTAGTTTAGTACTAGATACATCCACTTAAGTGAAAGTAGAAAGAAAACAAAATAGGTTTTTCTATTCAAAAACTAGCTTAGCATCATTTGTTCTAACCTAGTCCTAAAGTAAATTTCCATAGGTCTATATTTAGTGCACTATTTCACCAAGCAACAAGAAAAGTTGGGGCCAACGCGAAGCAAAGTGTAAAAGTACATTTTCTTCTCTTGATAGGTGAGTTAGAGACATGTGAACTAATTACCTGCCTCAGTAACAACCACGTTTTGATGAGTGTCTCCAGGTTGATTTGTAAAATAAGTCTTTTCTATCGGAGCTGTTGGATTAATCTCTGTAAATAACAAGTGCAGTTGTCATACATAATGAAAAATAAGACAAATACAAATGCAGATGAAAATAAAATTTTATTATAAAACAAAATAAACATTGATTTCTGAAAAACTTCCAGCTAATTCTATTTTGAATTTAAATTTATATGAAATGATCTAACTATAAAGTCAACATTTAATTACCTCTGAATAAAGATCTCTTTGCAACTTGGATCCATTGGGTGAACCCCTGTAACCCCAAACTGCATTTAGCAATCCAGAGCATCTATGCTGATGATAACTGACTACAGGTAATAATAACAAAGGAGGTACAAAAGTAGGAAAAGATACGCAAGAATTGGTGAGCATAACATGAGACACTAACTGCGATTCAAAGACCAGCAGGATTATTTCTGTACTATTATTGGTGTATAATTTAGATTTCTCATCACAACAATAAGCAGCAGATAACTGCATATGGACTGCACCTGGAATTGATGATTCAAGTAAAAATGTTCTAAAGCACATTTGTCCCCTACAAACAATGTCATCTTAGATTTGCTTTCCAATAGTGTCTACTTCTTTAAAAAATAATCATAAATTAAGGCTTGCAAGTTGTTTCTTTCCCTGGTTTTATGAGGCAAGATTTCTTCGATTGTCACACACTTGGAAACTGTTGAAATTTCTTACAATGATCTGGTACTGCTCTCTTGCCTAATTTTTTTTCCCCTAGGGCATTATTCATTAAATTAATAGTTCAGAGAAAATAAATTGAATTACTAAGAAAATAACCTGTAAATTTGTTTTCATTTGTCCCCAAAATAGAATTCTGTTTATTTTTGTCAATTAATGGAAAAGAAAAAAACACATGCAGCATCTTACATTAGTTTTAGAATATTAAATCATTTTAATGTCATGTTTACTCTAATTTGGCCACCATAGTCTCTATTCATTAGAAGCTTAATCATACACCATCCTATAATAATATTTATTATTCTTATACACGTATATTACCCTGATACTTTGCCCGACACAGTCCTATCCTACACAGAATTTAGGCACTCTATGCCCCTAGGCGCTCAACTGGTATTTGCTGAACAAATAATACAGATATTATGCAATTTATCAACATAGAACTGGTTATCTTTAAAATATTTTAACAAACTTTACTGCAACTGCTGATTAAGTAACAAAATTTTAGAGACATAATCTCCTACATACTATTTTTAATGTCTAAGAGCGAGAGTACTCAATGTAGGGCTTCCCTGGTGGCGCAGTGGTTGAGAGTCCGCCTGCCGATGCAGGGGACGCGGGTTCGTGCCCCGGTCAGGGAAGATCCCGCATGCCGCGGAGCGGCTGGGCCCTCTGTGAGCCATGGCCGCTGAGCCTGCGCGTCAGGAGCCTGTGCTCCGCAACGGGAGAGGCCACAACAGTGAGAGGCCCGCGTGCCCCGCCCCCCCGCAAAAAAAAGAAAAAGAGTACTTAATGTAATTTTAATAAATATAAAAGTCAGATTCAGAAGTATCCCCTTAAAATGTCTTTGGATAACACTGATAGACCCAAAGAATAGATATTCAACGCACAGAACAGTAACAACAAAAAAAAAGGTGGAGAAGAGAGTGAGAAAACTCAGAAGCGAATTATTCAGTTTCTGTAGAGCTAGGTTAATTTTTTACCACTTTGGATATCAGTAGCCATGCTATTAGACAGTACGCAGGAACAGAAGCAGGAGACTAAGTTCACGTGGTACTTTTGGTATAGTTGGAGAAAAAAGTTCAAAATAATCAGTGTTATAATCTGTAAATAGTAATTAGTCTCACTACTTGATCCTCCAATCCCCTCACCACTAAGAAGTTAACCACTTACCATCAAAAAAGCACTGACCATACAAGCAAGGAATTTAATCAAACCAACATCCTTTATAAATAAGACACTAAGCTCAAGGAAAGAAGGTTAACTACATAGAAAATATATAAAAATGAAAATATTTAAAGTAAAACAAAGTAGAAAAATTCTATACATTAATAATTCTAAGTACTTTTACACTGTAGAAGGGTACGTGTGCTTCAAAAACAAAAAATACATGAAAGAATCTTGTTAAAAAACTATAGATATTTGAAGATTTAGGTAGAATATAGAAGATAAATGAAAAACTAATTTTATGTCTAAAATGCTCTTCCATGAGTAATATAAACCTAGACTACCTAATACAAAACAAGAGGATTCTGGGGAATAGTGACCTGAATAATGTGGTAAATATGATATAAAATAAAATACAAAGGGTCACCTAAAAGCTCAAAGAATGAAGATAATATTGTATTAAGAATATGCTGTAATATACTTTGTTTCATTTAATAGTTTCAAGCACACAGTGTCACAAATTTAAAATATCAAAGAATTTCAACTTCATATTTTTCTAGGAAAAGAATTAAGATAACGAACCTAAGTGTGTAACAGATATAGCTTTGCAAAGGCTTCTAGGAGGGTAATGATGCATTTAGCAACCAAGAGGTTTAAAGACTAAACTCACCAGGGATAAAGAAAGTAGGCTAATATACTCAAGAACAAGAATAAATATAAGAGAAGGGTAAATCTAATCCAAATAATCCCTTGTGCTTTACAGTCTTATGAGAAAAAGAAGACTCATGTAATTTCAACAGAATAATGGAAATAGCAGTACTTGACTGTAATTGCCTTCCACGAACACGTTATGAGGTCAAGCAGACAGCCCTTGGAAGAGTTCAAATGAAACTTCCAAACGCTGAGAAGAGGAAAACAGAAAAAAAAAAAAAAAATCCTCATAGCCTAAATATCTAATTTGACTTTCTTTGATGATTAAAACGATGAGTTTACATCGTTCTGATTAGTCTCTCTTTTGGTCAGATATCAATTCAGTTGAGTTGTTCTAGTCAAAGTAACTCAAATTTACTACTTCAGCAGGCAACCACACTAACGTATTT